AAACAATATTAACACAGAGCAAAAAATGAAGGAATATAAATAAAAACAAAATAATCCACGTAGGGAACACTAATATAATTGTAAAACGTTAAAGAAATACAAAAAACAGATAACCAAGCTAGATCATTTCCCTTGTTGAGAACGTTCGCTCAAGGGAGACAATGTTTATGCGAAATACTTCCAAAGATTTACATACGTCATTTGCAGCGATGACGCACCTGGCTGAAGGACTATGTCTTAGTGCACTGCTCACATTAAAAGTAGACAATTCTCTTATTTGCTTCGCCGGCACACGTAAACCAACAGCGTCCATAATGAATGGCAATTTATTTTGCCCTTTAAGACATTAACAAGAAATAACGCATCGAGATGTCGTCGTCTGGAATAAAGTGTTCTAAAATTTAAAGTAGATAGGATCAATTCATATTTGCGTGGGATATTAAACTGAAAAAATCGGTAATTGCACAAACTGGCAAAAATTGTCTTTGAATATTTTCTAATTTATTAGAATCTGTCTGTGTAAGATTATTCCAAACGACCGAGGCATACTCAAGCTTTGACCTAATTAAAGCATTATATAAAACAACAAGGCTGTCTAAGGAGGAAAAATTATAAGTAATAAAATGAATAAGCCCTAAGGTCCTTAGTGCCTGGGAATGAACACAATTTACATGACAGTGAAAATATAGTTTACTGTCTAACAAAACACCAAGATCTTTTATACAATTAGTACGCAAGATTAAAAAGTCACTAACAATGTAATTAAAATGGATGCTGTTGGTTTTACGTGTGAACGATATAATTTATGTATACTGTTAGCACCTGGACCTGTTAAACTGCCTTTTTGTATGTCAGGACTAGTACACAAATCCTGTTCTGTTATTGTGCCTGTCATGATTCCCACTGTATTTGTATTTCAGAACAGATTCATGAGAAATTTGATACTTTGTTCCAGATTGCAACAAAATACCATGAGCAGCTGACAACTAAAGCTCTTATTGATCTTTTTGAGTCATTCAAGAGCTATGAAGGCCTGTTCTACTTCCTAGGTTCTATTGTGAATTTCAGCCAAGATCAAGAAGTTCATTTCAAGTACATTCAGGTATGCAAACTGATGATAAATAACTAAAAACAATATTTAAAGTTTTCTGTATTTGGAATTTTTGTCCATCATCAGTTTTGAGTTTTGCTTTTTCGGTGTGTATTTTTATTGTATCTTCTTTATTACGCCGTCTCCTTTACAGGAGGTTGGCGACATATTATGAACAGGATCCTTCCATCCTTTTCTCGGAATAGGACCTGTTCATATATGTTTTTTAGGCAGGTGATACAGAAGTGGTTTGCCATTGCCTTCTTCTGTTTGTATGGAGTATGGAGTAATTGTTGGGATTCCACGGAGAAACCGGGGAAGCCCTGGAGGAAAACTCTTGTGTTGCCTATATCACGGCCTTGCCTAACACAAGTTATAAATTTGGACACCTTTTATTGTATACTAATGGGTTATTTTGTATACAGGGCTATTCAAAAAGGTTGTCAGGGTTTTGTGAATTTTTGTGGGGCAATGCATTAAACATACGACTATTATCATTACACTGGTGGATAGAGAAACTCTCAAAGTTTTGTTCTGTACCGCCCACCATCCAGTAGTTTCGCGTTTGGCCGCCAGGTGTCAGATTTTGCAATATGGCGGCTAACGGTAAGAAGAAGGTTTTTTGTACTCTCGAATATCATCAAAGTCGGTCCGTTACCATTGTCCAGCGGCACTTCCACACGAAATTTGGGAAGGATCAAGTCTTTGTCCTCCCTCTACCTGCGACTATCCTGGATCTGAAGGTACGTATCAGAGCCGCCATTCTAAACATCACCGCTGACACGCTGGGGCATGTGTGGGAAGAAATGGACTATCGTGTAGATGTCTGCAGATTGACAGAAGGCGCACATATTGAGCATTTATAATGCATGTAAAAAAACTTTGAGAGTTTTGCTACACAATAAAACAAGATTGGTATTCCTACCTCAGTTGTACTATGTGTAGTGATTTTTTAAAACCCCGACAATATTTTTGAATAGCCCTGTATATGTTTTAAAATTGGGCATGTGATACATCTTCAGTACAAGAAATGTATACCACAAATACTGAAAACGTCTGACAAGTTTTCACCCTGATTTCAACAGAGTGAAGGTGGACCTGACTTTTCAGTGGAACTCTGAAATCAGTTTGTGGGTTAAATAGTTTGGGTTACCAACTGTCACTTCATATTAATACCAAGACTGTATTTTTATGAAATTTGTGTATAGGAACCACAAGCAATATTTCTTCTAATGTGGAATTTTGGAACTTTCTGAAATGGTAGGTACTTCAAATATATGGACTTGGGTTTGTTGTGCTTACTTTCTGCTGCAAGATATTTCTGAAATACAGCAGCAATTGTAGAGATACATGGTGTAATATTTCATGTTTTGTAGTGAGATTGTCTAGTATCTGTCAATGAATTGAGATTTTATATTGAAATGTTTTTCCCCCTTTTCAAAGTTATGTCGTTTGAGGAACGTGGTATTTTGTATATTTGGTAGCTGTTAATGTATCATTTGTTTTCTGCAATGTATAAATAATGCTGTTTTAATGTGCTTTGCTTTTAGGGTGTTGATGTATGCATGTTGAGTGTGTATGTAATTTGAACTGAAATTTGAATGGTAAGGTTGTGGTAGTAATTGTTAAAGAGTTTGAGCATCATAGTATTGGGCCTGACCTATGATTAGAAACTGATTTGACTAACATGAATGAAAAGTATCTATTAACCAGATATGAGGTCATACTAAGGCTGGATACTAACATTAGAGCTGATATTCTGCTTGTGTCGCTTTAATTTTTGTAAGACTTTTACATCTGTTACTAATTTCTTCAACCATTCTTCTTTGACATCTGTTATTAAGCCAGACTTCTTCTGCAGAACAGCGCTGTTACTTAGTCATACTCTAAACTAGGGGTTCTCACCCCACTGCCTACATGTGTTTTGTGCGGGCTGCATACCTTATTGCGTACTTTGTTACACTGTATGATCAGAAACAGTTGATACATTATAAGCATGTTTTGGTAACGTCATCAGTATCTTGCATTAACTGTTGCTGTGAGCATTTCGTTTAGATTAATGAATGTAGCTATGTAAATAACTGGGATGCATGTTACTTACAAACACTTGGAGGGGTGCATGCAAATTGCAGCAACAAAATTTAAAACCGTGTAAAATATTACTCAGGTGAAACAATGTTGAATATGTCACGAAAGGCTAATTTGATTAAAGGAAATTATTGAACAGTACATGAAACTTTATAATGGTATGCCCAGTTTAGAAGCATTTTTAATACATTGCAGTGACAGTTTCTTTAGTTTTCACATCAACATCTCATGTTTCTAAAATGTGTTGTATGCATATAATGTGACTGGCTATAAAATAAAATAAGGTTTCAAAAGTGTTAATTTTTTATTGCTGTATATGATTTATAATTGATATATGTCTGAGCATGGTCTTTTATGTACTCTAAACATATGATACATGTACGTGAATTGAGAAAAGCTAAAATGTTTTGCTCCTGAGGTATGAAACTTACATTTTATGATCATTGCTGTGATTACAGGCAGCATGCAAGACTGGGCAAATCAAAGAAGTGGAGAGGATATGCCGGGAGTCTAATTGCTACAGTCCGGAAAGAGTTAAAAATTTTCTAAAGGAAGCCAAACTCACAGATCAGCTTCCTCTCATTATAGTGTGTGATCGTTTTGACTTTGTACACGACCTTGTCCTCTATTTGTATCGCAACAGTTTACAGAAATACATTGAGATTTATGTCCAGAAGGTGAGTTTATTCTCATTAATTTTGTCATCCTTGCAAATTAAAGACTTAAGGCATTTATGGCAGTTCACTGGCAATGTGTGTTCTATTTGTGGAGTTGACACAGTAAGGATCTGTAGAACATCAGCAACTGAGCCTGTGTAGACAGTGAAGTCAAGCAGAAACAGGATCCACATTACCATAATTAATATTATAGTCACTAACAAAAAAAATTTAATTTTGTATGTTGGAGATTTGCTGATTATTATGCTTTCTTAGACATACATTGTAGGAAATGTCTTTCATTTTTAGGTTAATCCATCACGACTGCCAGTTGTAATTGGTGGCCTTTTGGATGTTGACTGCTCTGAGGACATAATTAAGAACTTGATATTAGTGGTCAGAGGTCAGTTTTCCACTGATGAATTGGTAGAGGAAGTGGAGAAGAGAAACCGCTTAAAGCTGCTATTACCATGGCTTGAGTCTAGAGTTCATGAGGGTTGTGTTGAACCTGCTACCCATAATGCACTTGCCAAAATCTACATTGACAGTAACAACAATCCTGAGAGATTTCTGAAGTGGGTATTCGTATTGAGCGAGGAAGGCTCATGTATTTTTTAACATATTTGTGGTCCATAAATATATTTGTTTTCATAAATTTGCTCAACTTTGCTAGTGTTGTTACAGTATATGATCTGTCTTCTTGTGTTTGCAGAGAAAATCAGTTTTATGACAGTCGAGTAGTTGGCAAGTATTGTGAAAAACGGGATCCTCATTTAGCATGTGTAGCATATGAAAGAGGGCAGTGTGATCGGGAACTGATAAATGTGTGCAATGAGAACTCCCTCTTCAAGTCAGAAGCAAGGTAATTCTTTGATAAAATGTATTTTTTTTATTGTTTTCATGTTATTTCAGCTGACAAAATCCATGCAGACAGCAGAGCATTGCATTCAGAAATACATACACTTGCAGTTTCTGTTTGGAATAACAAATTCTACACCAGTGTATAGAATCATCATTATCGACAAAAATTTCTGTTTTATAGGGATGATTGATAAAATGTTCCAGGGGATTGAAATTAGTATTATTTTAAGGACCAAACAGATTAGGTTTATTACTTCACCTGTGGATGGAAGCAAAGTCATTAAAAACATCATAAATGGAAAATTGTATCCTGCATTATTGTACTTTGAACATATAAGTTAAAACTTTTCTGTTTTTAAATTAAAGGCTCGATTGCTTTGTAGCTCAACAATTTGTTTGTCACAGGTATTTGGTGCGAAGGCGTAATCCTGAACTTTGGACTGAAGTCCTAAATGAGAGCAATCCCTTTAAGAGACCTTTAATAGACCAAGTAAGTTTTAATCATGTGGTAAGTTTGTGCAACCTGATTAATGTTGTGTGTTCAAAGGAAGGGCAGTTTTAAAAGAAATTAAATATTTCAGAAGTTCATGAAACAGTATAATACATCAGGGTTTACTGGGGGTCTGAAAGTTTAATAGATTTTTCTGTTTATTAATGCTGTCAGTTCTAAACTGTTCTACATTATATTGGATGGGGAAAAAACTATACCTTTTGTCTGTATTGTAGTTTATCTTTAATTCATCTTCACAGGTGGTTCAAACAGCACTCTCAGAAACGCAAGATCCAGAAGATATTTCTGTAACAGTAAAAGCCTTCATGACAGCAGATCTGCCCAATGAACTAATTGAACTTCTAGAAAAGATTGTTCTTGACAACTCTGTATTTAGTGATCACAGGTAACTGTACTTTGTTTTGTATATTCAGCAGAATCAGTTCTCAAACAGAGGTTACCTGTTGGTCTTATAAAGTGATTTTCCTTCGTGAGGTAATTGGTAAGGTCAATACAGAACAAATATTTATAATGAAATATTAATACTGTGTGTGATGTATACTTGTATTGAAAGCACTATACACTGAAATGACAAAAAGGATACCCTGCACAAAGAAGGCATTCCTCAAAAAGATAAAATTGTTTGCGGTACTGAATTACTGATACGTAGTCCTCTTTTTGTTGTAGTGTTAGAACCGATTATGTTCAGTGAACCTTTCTGATGTTGGGCATGAGGTCTTTGGACTTGATCATAAACATTGTATGTTGGATTAATATTTTATTCACTTGCTTTCAAGAAGATTGTGGATATTTTGCTTTATTTAATGATCATCACTGTATAAATCTTGGATAAACGCGTTCACAAATGTTATTGATAGTCTGCAATTCACAATTCTCATATGTCAGCACCTCCCAAAAGCAAATCAACCGAACTTGCTTCAAATTTTAAATTGAATTGAATGGAAAGTAGTAAGCATAGTTGTGTTCATAGCAGTTCAGATACATACATCACATCTTTGTCCCCTGGGTTTTCACAAGTTGTAAGTCTTCTGTATAGTTTTTAGCCCATGCGAGAATTATGGAAATAATTAAGATTATATCAGTGATGAAAAATTCTTACAAATACCCATTCATGGTTGTTCCCACTGGTTACTACGTTTAAGACATTATGCATAAACCAGGTGGCGCTGTCTTGTTGAATTTTGCTTCTTCCTTACATTTAAGAAGTTGCATGAAACTGGTTTTAATACTTGTCTCATACTTGATACTTAAAAACTTGAGTTCATTCTTCATTGAAATGCATCATATTACGTGATGCGATTTGGTTAATTTTGTTTTCTTAATATAGGAACTTACAGAACCTGCTCATCTTGACGGCAATCAAAGCAGATAGAACACGTGTCATGGAATATATCAACAGGTTGGATAATTATGATGCTCCTGATATTGCCAACATTGCAATAAACAATCAGTTATATGAGGAAGCATTTGCTATATTCAAGAAGTTTGATGTAAACACATCTGCAATTCAGGTAATTCTTATGATGACTGCAGTTCAATCCCTACAACCACTGACTTATAGTTCTTTGCCAAGAATAGAAAATAACTGTTAACTTGATGATTGTGAGGAGTTTTAATTTCAGTTTACTTATGAGCTTAGTGTTCATTTTGTCCATATTAAAGTTTTGAGAATCTTGATATTGTCACAGCATAGTTTTGTTTATTACAATCTTTACACTTTCTGAATGAAAGTCACCATACATTCTGTTGTTTTCTGTATGCCTCAATTCTGTGCTTTAGTTTTAATGCAACTGAAGAAACTGTATTTGGGGTTATTTAAAATGAATAATTTTACTAGGTTTTTGTGAATTGTAGTAATCGTTTATTTGATAAGGTACATAAATTTTAGGTTCTGATTGATAATGTCAACAACTTGGATCGAGCATATGAATTTGCCGAAAGATGTAATGAGCCCGCTGTGTGGAGCCAGCTGGCCAAAGCTCAGCTGCAGCAGGGTCTTGTCAAGGAAGCAATTGATTCTTTCATTAAGGCAGATGACCCATCAGCTTACATTGATGTTGTGGAAACTGCTCACAAAACAGGTACAGCTTATTGAAGTAGAGGCAAATATATCAGCAGTAGACCCTTCCATCTACTGCTTTCACCGTATGCCTTCGGAGATGTTCGTAAATGATCTTTGATGTTAATTCATTATATTTAATACTTTGATATTGAAACCCTTTGTGTAAGAATTATGATTACGCACACAATGTATTAGTGTCTGTTCTGTTGTATTCTACTGACAGCATTATGTGTGTTCGCACAGTGGAATTTTTGGCTCAGTGTGCAGTATAATTGTACTTTGTGGCTGGCTAACATTGATGGATGTGGGTCTGACTTTGTGTGTTTACAAGTCAGAGGTGAGAGAATTCAATTTTGTTGCAAGGTAATAATTATATGCACCTTTATATTGCAGAAAGTTGGGAGGACTTGGTACGATACCTTCAGATGGCACGGAAGAAGGCACGCGAGTCATATATTGAATCTGAACTGATTTACGCATATGCAAGAACTAACCGCTTGGCTGACCTTGAAGAATTCATCTCTGGCCCTAATCATGCTGATATCCAGAAGGTATCATACTTAAAATTTCCTACTGTTTGTGTCCTGTTGTGTTCTAGGCATGGTTGAATCACTTTTAAATTACAGAATTCTTCAAGTACAAGATGCAGTGGAATGCTATATTTGCTCTTATTTTAGGATTGATGAAAAGTGCATTTCTATAATTAGTATGCTTGCATTTTAGGCTGTGAACACCTTAGTCATGTGGTATATATTTGTCATTCATTGTATGTTTTGGGGTGTGATGTTTATTAGCAGTAATAGTTTTACCATCTCTGTTATATGGTTGTAAGGTTTGGACATTAACAGAAATTTATTTGTTAGAAAGAACAGCAAAAATGAATGAAATGTTTCATCCATTGCAGAATACACATTAATGGATTATAAGAGGAATGGTGATTTTAGAAGGGAATAAAATATATTTAGTCTGAAGGAAAGGATAATATAATAGAGCAGAATATAATACACCTAATGGAAGAACATTTAGAATGACAACCAGATAGGAATATAACAAAAAAATCTCTGCAGTATCATGAAGACGTGGTAGTCTGAGTTGACCTACAACAAGATGGACCAAGGCCATTGATGCTATTGGAAGCTAGAGACCAGCGAGTCTAATCCTGGCACTGTATGATGATGTAGGTGTTTAATTTCATATTCAGAGGATCAGGCAGGTTATGATCCATTTGACTACAAATATCAGAATGTCAACTCTTGATAACAATTCTTAAATATAAGTTATATTAGGTATATTCTAATATGAGTATGTTTTCTAGTAAACACAAACAGTAATTTTTGGGGTTTTTTTCCTTCAGATTGGTGATAGATGTTTTGAAGATGGAATGTATGATGCAGCCAAGCTTTTGTATAACAATGTGTCAAATTTTGCCCGTCTTGCTATTACTCTTGTCCATCTCAAAGAATTTCAAGGAGCTGTGGATGGTGCTAGGAAGGCAAACAGGTGGGTAGTATGTTTAAACATAAGTCTATTTAACTTGAAAGCCAATTATTTTTCAACAAGCTGGTGTTTCACTGTGTTTTAGTGTGAACCTTCAAGAAGCTTTATATGTCAATGTTAGGCCAATTGATTGAAGGATAGGTGGTCCAAGTTTGATGCCCATTTGAAGTTATGAACCAGTCCCATTCCTATATGAGCAGAGTGGAACAGAGTTAAACTAATAACAATGTTTTGTTATTTCATTAAAACATTGATTTTAATAACTGACTGGTGTTTTATTACAGCACACGGACGTGGAAGGAGGTGTGCTTTGCTTGTGTAGATAGTGAAGAGTTCCGCTTGGCCCAGATGTGTGGCCTTCACATTGTAGTACATGCAGATGAATTAGAAGACCTAATTAATTATTATCAGGTATAGTTTAGCTTTTAATAGTGCCATAACAAAATTGTCTTGAATGTCATTTTATGTGATGTCTCTGGTCACAGCAATAAAGATATATGTGGCTTCCTAATTGTAACATCATGAAGCAATTCTGAATAAAGTTGGGGCCCCACGACCGTACAAAGTACGTCTGTTGCAACCGACGTACTTTTGTATGGACGTAGGTGAGGACACCACACAAGTGCCAATTACCATGGCAGCTTGAAAGTATTTAGAAAAAAAGGTAGTAGTATTGTCTGTACTTACAAATCATAATTCTATAACGGACGTCACGATGTGCGTTACAACGGACATACTTTGTACGGTCGTGTGACCCCAGCCTAAGATGACATACACAACACAACAGTCTGTGTTTTTATCAAACAAGATTTTACCTTGCTGATATTCATTCAAGAACACTGAATTTTGAGTAAAATTTAAGACTGCTGTGTATGGTGACATTAGACTGTGATATTTGTTATATTTTTCAGTAAATGTACAATAAAACTGAAAAAGTGTTTTAGAATATTTTATTCGTAGTGTTTAGGAAATATTTAACCTTTTCTTATATTGTAATGAATTTTGTATAAGATGAATCAATTCTAAACTGTGATGCATTTATATTCATAAATTTAACTTTGGCATGGTCTGGGAGAGATTATAATGTAATCGATTACGTGTCTGACTGGTGATTTCTTGTTGCTAGGATCGGGGCTATTTTGAAGAATTGATAAACTTACTGGAGGCAGCACTTGGTTTGGAGAGGGCACATATGGGCATGTTTACAGAACTAGCCATCCTGTACTCCAAGTACAAACCTGCAAAGATGAAAGAGCATCTGGAACTTTTTTGGTCTCGAGTCAACATTCCCAAGGTTAGTTTTTAACATAGTTGTCCATTGTGCATATATCTGACTTTGTCTACATGTTGGGTTTCATTGAAAGGACCTGACTACACAGTGTTCAAGACAAAACATAACTGCTTATGATAACATAGAAACAGAAAATTGCCTTCTTTTGGGTTGTGGTTCCATGTAGTCTGGTAGAAATTTACCAATGTTTCAGAGATACTTTCTGCCTGTGAAATGTTAGTAAACTTCTGCCAGACTACACAGCACTACAACCCAGAAGACGACAGCAACAACTAAAATAACAAGCAATTCAGAAATGCCAAGGAAATGTGTTGAATTAGTTCATTATCGGCTTCTTTATTCTCATCTTTAGCCACTATAGCATAATGTATTACCTTTGTTAAACAACAGACAGATCATTAAGTGGCCTGTCAAGTTGCTCAGCAGTGCTCAGGTGGTCCACAGAAAGTTTGGGGACCAGTGTATTAAGACTTAAATGGAATGGAAATTGAATTCTCCAGTAAACTTACGTCTTATTTCAGGTATTACGAGCAGCAGAACAGGCACACTTGTGGGCAGAGTTGGTGTTCCTGTATGATAAATATGAAGAGTATGACAATGCTGTGATTGCCATGATGAACCATCCAAGTGAAGCATGGAGGGAAGGACATTTCAAGGACATCATCACAAAGGTATTGAAGATTTTGTAAGATTATGAAGATGGGCATTACTTACATAGTGATATATCTGTTACAACTATGTAAACATTTAAGGGGTTAAAATATACTTTTAACTCTTATTTTCCACAGACTTCAGTAGTGGGCCTCAGGAATCAAAGGAATAAATTAGTGACTGTTTTCAAATTTGACTGATATTGCCAGGGTGTCTGCGTACATTAAAAAATACTGGATGCTACACATAGTCAAGAAAAAACTAATTCCTATGTTATGTAATGTGGAAATATGAAAAAAAGATTCTCATTCAAGTTAGAGTTGATGCTTTTCTGATACATTTACAAGTTTTTAATGACATGCAGTTTGAGTTCTGTTTTTAAAAATAAATCTTATATTTAGACTAATCACATTCCACAATAAGCAGTAGCTTTACATTTCACCATTAACTATACCAGGTGATTCAAAAAGGACTTTACAACTTTGAAAGTGTATAGAAATTTATTCATAAGGCTTACAGAATCGGTTGAGGTGTCATTTTGTAGCAAAACAAATAAAGGTTGACTCACGTTGTGCTGTAGTACCGAATTCCGTCACCGCGAGCGCAAGCGGCAGTGCATTTGAAAATGGCTCGAAAATTTTCTCATACCACAGTTAGATGAAGATGACCGAAAAGGACGCATTCACTTCCAGCAAGTCGGTGCACCACCTCACAGAAGTCCGGGATTTCCTCAGTAACCATTTCCCAGGTCGGTGGATTGGTCGAACAGGGTCGTTAGCATGGCCACCTCGTTCTCCAGCTTTGACACCTCTCGATTTTTTCTTATGGGGTTTCATTAAAGATCGTGTGTATGTTCCACCCTTACCTGCCAATCTCACTGAGCTCAAAGCTTGAATCACCACCGCAGTTGCAGAAGTGACATCGGATATGCTGGATTGTGTTTGGCAAGAAATTGATTTCAGGTGGGATGTCTGCAGTATCACCAATGGCAATCACATCGAACCAAAATGACTGTTTGTGGTAAAACTTGATTTATTTTGCTACAAAATGACACCTCAACCGATTCTGTAAGCCTTCTGAATAAATTTCTATACGCTTTCAAAGTTGTAAAGTCCTCTTTGAATCACCCTGTATTATCAACGTTAACAAAACTTAAAAGACTGTTTGCTCATTCATGGCGAACTGTATGCTAGAATATAATGTAGAAATACAAATTCTTGTGTTAATGCTTAATAGTGGTAGCACAATATAGCATAATTTTGCAGCTTTTATAAGTGAGGTTCTGTTTTTCCAGATATCAGGGTAACATTAGCTTTTGAATGAGTGTTTGCACACAACCATAGGTACTCCCGTTCACTCACAGTTTCAATCACTTTACCCAGTTGAAGGTATTTTACCCTTGAAAACAATCTTTGATTCCCACAGTGTGACCATTAACCAATGGTTTGTCTTTGTTGTTACTATTATATATGATTGTCTTGTTTCAGGTTGCTAACATTGAGCTCTACTACAAGGCAATCCAGTTCTACTTGGATTATAAACCATTGCTTCTGAATGATGTATTGCTGGTTTTGGCACCTCGCATGGATCACACAAGAGCTGTCAATTTCTTTACAAAGGTAGGAAATACAACAAACATCTCGGAAATTAAATATCTAACTGGCCATTAAACGGAAAATATGCCAAGATAGAATGCCTATAAGATTATACTGAATTACAGTCCAGATCACAATCAACATCTTCATTGCAAATCTGAGTTAAAATACTTGTACATTGCACACATTCTTTGGAACACCCCATATATATGTTACTATATGAACTACTTTTTATGAATGTTGGATTAATTTTTACATTGATGCATTTGAATGCTATCCCATCTTCAGTTTGTTTAATAAATTTTTACCCACAATAAAAGTTAATCACCATTATAAATATATATATATATATATATATATATATATACACACACACACACACACACACACATACATACACTGTGTATTTTCCTTAATTTACTTATATAAAAAATCTGTGCCTTGGTCACAGTATTTTTAATTGTTGCTGTAAGGTAATGGTAGACTCATTTTTATTTCATGTATGGTTATCAAATAATGCAGGTTTTGTATGTACATCATTTATTTCCTTCATATTCAGATTTGACAACACTCGGCATAATGGTACAGCCACATACAAATCTACTTGCTTGCATTTTTCTCTTCATAGATTTTTACAAAATAAAAGTTGTCATTTTTGGCATTGCAGTTGCCTCAATGTTGTAATTGTTTAGATTGTCATACATAGGTCTTTAATGATTTTGATATTTGGAAATTATGATATAAAACATATATTGGGTGACAGTGACAGTATTTTGAAGTACAGTAAATAACTTGCATGAAAGAAAGCTGTTTTGAGTTTTCCTCACTCTTTACGTTTAATTCACTTCTCATAGATGATAGAAACGTTAGTTTCTGTAAAAGGTGTGTTTAACTTTTTAAAGCTGAAGCTTATCTGTGTAATGTTTAAGAGTTCGGCCTGTATCACAAAGAAAACAATTCTCTTCACCATTACAAAAATCTGGTTAATGTTTAAAGAAATAATCGTTGTTTACACTGAAAATCATACGAAACACATAAATACAAAAGCATTGAATTTGTTCACACACAGGTAAATCATCTGCAACTAGTGAAACCATACCTTCGCTCAGTTCAGAGTCTGAACAATAAAGCAATTAATGAGGCACTCAACAATTTGTTAATTGAAGAAGAAGATTACCAAGGGCTTCGTACCTCAATTGACGCCTTTGATAACTTTGACAACATCGCACTGGCTCAGAAACTGGAGAAGCATGAACTGATTGAGTTTCGACGCATTGCTGCTTATCTTTATAAGGGCAACAACCGTTGGAAACAATCGGTCGAGCTCTGCAAGAAGGATCGGTTATTCAAGGTATGTTTCCAGAGTTTTACTTTGAAGTGCTTGCTGAATGATTGCTATGTCGAATCAACGAGTTCCACTGCTAAGATATTCCTGGTGGACATATACCCAGGACCACGAATAACAGTACAGCATGCAGTGGGATTGAATGATTAGTCTATTTTGTAATGCAGCATTCTTTGATTAATTTGTAATCTTTGTTGGCATGTGAAAGTTACCAACATTATGCTTGTATGTCACTGTGATCAAGTCATCAGGTATTTTCAGTCACATATAAAACAGAGAAGCTAGCATATCTGTCGATTGTAATCCTGTATGTTAATTTTATTATTTAATACAATTATATTACAGTTGTGAAGATTCTTGGAACTATTGACAACAGTGATGCTTGTACTGATGTAATTTATTTTTTAGTCTATGATAGAAAATTTGTTATTCCTTTGTTTGTGATGGCTCTGTTTCCCTTTAGTTACAAATTTTCAATTTACTACCAGTAATAATACTGTCATTTAATATAGTTATTATCAAAAGTATGAACTCATATTTTAATCATTACAGCTCTTGCTAACCATATGCTGGTCTTTTAAATTTCATGTATACAAATGAAACTGTTCTGTGATACTAAACTTCTTCTTCTATGGCTCTCCGGTCCGTATTCGGTCCATGGCCTCCTCAATTCTCCTCTTCCATTAGGTCCTATTGTCAGGTCCATTCTGTCCGAGGCTTTTATTGAGGTTTTGAAACATCTTCCTTTTTACGGTGCAAGGTTGTTAGCCTTGCAACCAACCCCCAACCTGGAGGACCAGGGTAACTGTCTTAGTCTGACCTCTCCCCCTCAACCAATCTGGCTAGGGAGGCCCTACCAGTAGCTTTGCTACCGCCAGCATAGCTCTTGGGATGATACTAAACTTAGTAATGTGATATATGAGATACGCATTTTGCAGTGTGGTGTGAATATGTAATGTAATTCACAGACCCACATCTCTTCTAGTCTTCATTGATCATGGAATTGTATCTTGAGACATGCTTTGTTTGCTTTCTTCCATGTCCTTTCAATCCATAATTTACAATCGTCGCTTTATTTAATGTTTTATGACTAATGCACTGGACAAGCATCATTAAATAAACAGTAGCGATCAGTGTGACTTGCAATGTAATTTCCGTTGTGTGGTTAAATTACATCCTATTTGTTTTTGTAGGATGCTATGGAGTATGCAGCTGAATCAAAGAATGCAGAGGTAGCAGAGGAATTGTTGGCATGGTTCCTAGAAAAGGGGAGCCATGATTGTTTTGCTGCTTGTTTGTTTCAATGTTATGATCTGTTGCACCCTGATGTTATCTTGGAATTGGCTTGGAGACACAACATTATGGACTTCGCCATGCCATATCTTATCCAGGTCACCAGAGAATACATAAGTAAGGTATGTTACTTGTGCATGATAGTGCTTCAAATAGTTTCTGTGCAGTCTTATTTGTTTCAAATGTTGGCTTGTTACTTCATTTTATTAAATGATAGTACAGTGGTTACGAAAACAGTATTTTCATCAGTAATGCCTTCTTTCTAAGTTGAAATCACTTTTGTGGATTATCTGGGCAGTATATCTTTACACTAATAAGATAAGTAACGTAATTTCCATTTCATTTCATTGATTTGAATTCATTAAAAAATTATTCTTTAACCATGTCCATCCAGTCAGGGCTACCTCATTGCTTGAAGCTGAAAATTAATTTTTAATGATTATTGTATATTATGTTAACAAAATAACAAAAATAGGCATTTGTAGAGCTTGGATATGATGAATGTTTTGAGAGAAAAGCTGCCATTATGAGATTGTCATACTGGTATGATTGATAAAATTTTTATTTCATAGTGTAAGGGTTCTTTGCTAAAGTAGGAGATTGATATTAGTGAAATATTTCTAAGTTTCATTGAAATTTTAAAGCCCCTCTTAAGGGAAAATTTGTTCTTGTTTGATTTACAAATTTTGGGTGTTTGAACTCAGTGTGTGGAAGCTGTGACTGCTGCCGTTAGGATTATAGTACTTTAAACAATTGTATGTGTAAGTGATCTTGGGTTAGGGATTTTGGTCTTCTGGGTTGAAACATAGTCTTGTAGGTGGCTTCTGACATTTCAGGGGACTGTTGAAGTGGAGTTGTCACATTCCTTTGAAACAGTGGTATAGCTATCTGCAAACAACTTGTTATGTGGGTGACATCAGAGTTCTGGGAAACTTAAAGTGATTTGATTAGTCATTGAAAACACATTTGACTGTGGGCTTGACTACACATCTTGAACATCTATCCAGAGCTGATACCCAAGATAAATGTTTTCAGCAAGGCATGGCCACTGCTGTTACAAGTTGCCTGTAACAGTTACTCAAGTAGTTTTTCCACGTCTATAATCTACAAGATTACACGTCTTCATAATCTAGACACATTCTACATTTTCACTGCCATGAAACCTTCTGTGATTATTCTGTGATGCTCATTAATTATATTTTTCAGGTTGATAAGCTTGAAGAGTCTGAATCCCAGAGGCTGGAAGAGACTGCACAACAAGACCACAAGCCTATGATAATGCGTAAGTTTCATACACACATTACATGAAGACTTGTAGATTAAACAGTAGTATTAACATTGTGCATGATTAAGAAGTGACTTTATAATTTAAAATTTATTTTGTGACTTTCTAAACATAATGTAATTCAGCTTTGCAATTTTAAGATGAAACAAAAGTAACTGTTAATGGCCTGTCTTTAAAAGTAAAAGTGCTTATATTTAGAGGTATGTTTTGAAGTTAAATATTAGTTCAGACAGTTTGAACAGTGGTTAAAAGAATGATTTAGGTTGTGTGTTACAAAAAACTCTCACATCTGTTATTTATTAGTAGTATGTCAAAAGGTACATGAAGCATGTACATATGGAGTTTTGGCAAAATGCCAGGCTCATGAGTTTCAAAGGAAGTCTGGATTTGTTTTATTTTGTAGATGTATATTTCTACACGACTGACTCTTTACCTTTTTAATTGGGATTAAGAAATATGTGAATTACAAGTGTAAAATGTAAGTCACTTTGGATGAATATTTAATAAGTAGAATTTCATGTGTAGGATTCGAGTTTTCACAGTGGTGAGTCTGAAGGTGGCTGTCTTCAGAAGACAGACATCTGAATATGTAATTTGTATGAGAGCAGATAATTTTGATCTCATATAAGGTCTGTTACTCTATTTGAAACTAAAATAAAAGTAAACTGCAGGAATTCCAGTTCCACACTACTATAATGCAGTGAACTAGGTCAAGAAATTCATAGGAACTAGAAACGTTCACTATTTACACTGTTCTGATTTGTTTGCTTTATCTCCTGCAGCTGAGCCTCAGTTAATGTTAACTGCAGGTCCAGGAATGATTGGCCCTGGTTACACCCCAGGATACCCAAATGCATATGCTCCAGGCATGCCATACCAAGGCTACAGTATGTAGGTAAGCCTGAACTTGAATTGTCTTCAGTACTACTGTAGAGTCCAAGAAGAGAGAAGAAGGTGATGAATTTCAGCTATAATGGTTTTCAGTCTGAAGTGCAAACCTTTAAGGAATTAAATACAGTGTATTCATGAAAGATACTTATATATTTGTGCACTGGGCTACTGTTTGTTGATTTAAAAGTGGATTCAAAGTATGGTGTATGAGTGCAGTGATTGTTATACAGAGAAGAAATACGTGGTCTAGAGTTTACCATTAAGTCACAGATATTGGTATGATTTTTGTTGTGGTTCAATTTCTTTTGTTTTAGATCATATGAGGGGGGGATGTTGTTAATTATATTGAATCATTTTGATGCTTCCCCCCTTCTTGTTGAATATATAATTTCTGTTGAGGAAGGGAAAAATTGGAAGAAATTGTAGATGGTTGAATGATGAGGGTAGATTAAGTATTTACATATTAACTTTGATGAAGTGGAACACAAATTTAATATGAATGGAAGCTTGTTACTAAACTGACTATCATCGATGATTGATAGGAAACTACAAAAAATGGTATACTAAATATGAAATCTACTTCAAAGCAGTACATCTCCCACCCAGTCTCCTTCTACCTTGAAATAATATAGTACATACATATATTGTATATTTATGGATTTCAGGAAATACCTAGAATGAATGATAAAATACTGAGGCAGACAACTAAATGACAATATTCTGTCCTTGCAGCAGTTTCTTTTACACCTTTTTTTAGAAGTGAATTTCTGTTTCTTGCACGATGAATCTGTCACAGCATGAGTGTTCGCAACCTACATGCCTGGGCATTTTGACTTATTAGATCAATATATGATGTTACCATCTCTGTCCTGTTTTGTTACTAGTACATCAGATGTAAATCCATTCCAAAATATGAAGCAACATTTTGGAGGGGAAATGAATATTCACTGGTAGTATGTTAGAGGGAATGAAAAAGTATTGCACCTCCATTACAATATGGTGGTAAAAATTAAGGATTTGCAATTATATCCTGTTAATTTGGTAAACTATCTGCTTTCCATTTTATGATACTATAAAAATATATGTATATGATAATTTATTGTTACTCTGACCAATACATTAACATAAATTGACCAATCATGAACTGGGTGTTGTTGCAAATCCAATAGGCATTTGTTTAGTATATTTATTTTCTTTTAGGCATTGTTATGCTGTCAATATTATGTTTACATTTATTAAGCTGTTATTTACAAACACTAACTTTGTATTTATAGCAGTGAATACTTTAATTCCTTGTAAAGAGTTCAATAAAATGGAAACAGAAATAATTTAATAGTAGATTCAAGCTGAAGAAATGTGGCTTTTTGTGGTTCTAAAATAACATTTAAAGAAAATTTGAAATTATTTTTGGACAAATTAACAGTTCCAAAAAGTTTTAGTTAACTTTATTTCAACTGTAATTCATTAGAATCATGAAAGCAATCCAGTGTATTGTGGTCAGAAAACAGATGTATCATTAAAATGTGTAATTCTCACCCATCTTACCTTTTCTTGTTAAAACCAAATTTGTAATCTTTATTTTTCACTAATTCCTTTCATATTATTTTTTACATGACCTGTTACAAAAAGTGCCAGTACATTTATGATGAAAAAAAATTAAAACCTGTCTTCCTCCCATAACCTAATGTTTACCTTTAGAGGTTCCTTTTCCATTCTCTGATTGTGTTATTGTGCTGATTAACTTGGCCATTAATATGGACAGTACTTTTCTCTAAACAGCACTTCTCGTAGTTGTTCATCTCTATCAATACAGTTAAGATCCCTACAGGGAACATTGGATGGTCATTTGTGTGCAGTACCTGTACAAGCTGCAGTTCATATGCATATCTATGCAGGCATTTATGAAATATCTTAACATACAGTGCTGTTTGGTATGGTGGGTTCCTGTGACACTGCCTGAATGGAATCAAAATACATGGACTGTGTTGAAAGCTTCATGCATGAACAGTCAACTATCTCCTTCACAGCATTTATCTGCTTCATAGTGCCTGTAGCTGGAAATGTATCAGTCTGGCACTTTATTGTGAAGTTTTAGGGCACATCATTTTCATAAATATGATACATTGCCCTACATTGCTGCTCTCTGGTTAGTGCCAGTGTTCAAAATTTGAGTTATCTGTGCTTTGGATGGGTAATTCAGCATGTGGACACCCGTATTTGGAAAGTGTATTCAAGAGGATTATTTTGGAGATAATTTGTAATACAGCTTGCTGAGGGATATGAATCTTTGACAGATGAATTGCCCCCCCCCCCCCCCCCCCCCAAATGGCCACTGCAATGTTATATGAATTTAAGAAATCAGTTAATGAATTTTATAAATTTTCTCTTGCCTTGAGTATACAAGTATGGGTACAAAATCAATTTTCAAGCAACAAATATAATGCAGAAGGTATAACTCAATGAAGTCCTGGGGTGATGAGTAGTGTAAGTAAATCCAACATTTAAGAGACTGTTGCTGTCAGGGTTTATGATGAGAGCAGAGACAGTCTGAAATGGTGGATTGTAATACCATACATAAGATGGCTGATCACATGCAACTTAACTGCATTCAGTCACCATGAGAACTTCATCTTACAGTGGGTGTATTACTGTAGTTAGCTGGGCTAACATATATCTACAGACTGTTAACATCCAGTTCTAGAACCAAGGATGTGATTTTTTTAGTGATGTCAAATTTTGTAAGTGTTGGAGGTTATGTATTTAAAATTTTATTTACAATTAAAAATTAATGTGGCATAGTGTCAGTTGATACTATAATTAAGGGGAATAGCTAAGATAATATAAAATTTTAATGTTGCACTTTGAAATATGCTATAAAGCTTTAATTTACACTTATAAATGGGAAGGTCCAGAAAATGCCCAGGGCTTATGGTGTGTGTGTGTGTATATATATATATATATATATATATAGTCTAGAGTAAAATCATGAAATAAGAGACAGGAAAAAATTCTGCTGACACTACGTGTGGGTCAAGTGGCAGTGAATGTTACCAGGTTACTTGCCAAAGTCATGTTTTTTATATAGAAACATTTGTAGTGTCATGTACTATTACAATCAACCTTCATCCTTGCTGTGTAATTTATGTTCGGTCCAGCTGGCCTTATGTTCCACTAGCAAGCTGGTGACCCTGGAGTCAAAGTACAGCTATCAGCCTCATATAAAGGGTTTTAAATCACCTAACCCAATACAATAAAGGTTAATAATGTGTGAGCACTTGTTCACCTTAGTTTCCTGAAAAGAGAGCTGTAGTTATGTGCAGTGATGAGCTATTAAAACAGGCAGTATGTCATACATGGTTACCAAAGTTGTACTCTGTAAACGTTGTACAGGATTTTATTGTTCAAAACAGATTTACATTTTCTGACTTCACAAATCTGCTATCATAAAAGTCTTTATCTTCTTCACACTCCTGTCTTGTGGCCGGATACAAAAGTACTTTCCATGTAGGGTGTACGTATAGTCATCCAGAACCATGGTAAATACACTGGGCTGTTTTGGAATGGCTGAAATAAAAGTTAAACAAATTAGTGATGAAGGTGGTCACCACAGCATATCTAAGCTCTCATTTTAGATCTGTTAATACTTACTCCTCACAATATTGTCTGTACCAATAATCTTGAAAGTGTTTTTTGTATCAAATACTACTATTCCAGACTGACCCACAAGACTGCTACAAGTAGATCGAACAACCTTCAGATGTGCTCCATGGTAGTCAGCTTTAAGAAGTAGCTGAGAGAAGTGGTTCCAATATTTACTTCCAGGCTCACCTGTAAATCTGGAAGGTAACCACTTACAGTTCACAATAAAACAATATGCAAATTTTTATTTCTAAAGAAAAAACCTTTTATACCCTCTCTTTTTCAGCTCTTCCAAATTCAAGCAGCTTCTCATGTATTCTTTCCAGATGTGATGAAGTTCTTGGAAATCCTTATATTTCATTCCCTTCCTGTTTATCTTATAGAGCCCAAGTTCACGCCTCTGTTTCAATGACAACAATTTCTTCTTCTTAAACTGACTGTTTTTTTTATCTGCAGTCCTGAATTTTAGAAGTATAAATTTCTGAAACAATTAAGAAACCGGATGAAATTCTGAACCAAAATATCCCTGCGGTGAAATCTTGCCAGTTTGTTACTCATTTTGTTGGCCAGAGTGAAAGACTGCACCTTGGCTTTTATTAGGCAGTATCATCTGCAAGAGTATGTAGCTTCAAATGGCTGACAGGAACATTCAGAGAAAATGATCAAGGCCTATCTCAAGGTTCTATCCCAGATTTTGCCTAGAATAACTGAGTAGAATCAAATAAAACATTAGTGAAGATAGTAACCAAGATTTAAACTCAGAACATTTTCAGAACTGGTCCTGTTGTAATTGTCCCTAATAACATGAAACAGTTATATAATATGGCAATCATGTACTTGTCGTTAGCTCACGTATATCATGGCTGACACACCCTTACAGATTTTATTGAACTTATTAGACTCACATACTTAACATTGCCTGTTACTACCAAATTTTAAAAAAAAAAAATTAACTGTGCTATAACAGTATGAAAATACTATCACTACATCTAAATATCTTGCATGTAAACAATGTGTAAGTAATTGGCAACCATACAGAAAATACAAAGGCTTTCATATCAATTTCTATCATGATACATGATTTCTTAAACTGTACAATGTTAATATATGCTCACAACATGAATTTATTTCTCTGTACATCAGATCTACATACCCTTTTCAGTTCACTATCCACTGTAGAATGTTTGGATTGTGGTAAAGATGCAGTTACCATTTCTTTAATAAATTCATTATCTGATTGCAATTCCTTAACGCCAGTTATTTGTTGAATTTCCTTGGGCAATTTGGAACACAAATCTGAAAGTGAAAAAATAGCAGGTATGTTCCCTACCTTTGAACTTGTATGGAATTAATATCCTGCCATAGGAATATATTTCTACCAATTCATAAACAACCAAAATAAATTTATGATATACCACACCGTTCCAGAGATATAATGAATGTGTTTATATATATATATTTCCTAATATGCAGTTTAGGGATGTCACTTTAAAGCAACCAATATTTGTTTGATGGTAACACAGTGTTACTGTTTACAAAGTACGAACTCTCCAAATACATTACTCATTTACCTTCATTACTCATGGTTATTCTGAAGTCTAAAAGCACAACAAATTATTCAACACGAAGGATACTCATCTATACAAATTTGAGAGGCAACCATTTCACACGTGGCTATACGTAGTAATCGGTGAACCACCGTGTTGTAAACTGAAAATGTTAATTACAGTCAACTAAAATTGACGGCCATGAAATATCTTGGCAAGTGGCTGTTTATGATTTAATTCAAAGGATCAGAAGGATAACTTTAGCATGTGTATTAGCTGTGGTTATTATGATGTTGGTATCACAGATGCAATTCCCGTTCTGTTAGGCCTGCAAACATAACCGACGATGCTGTAAGTAGTCAACAGGTATGTCTGGCCAAATGTGTCTAGGTAAGGTAATATTTTCAATATTTGACACGACATGTAGTGCATAGACCTCAACCATAGTGACACGCAATGTCGCAGACTCGTACTGATAATTTGCGGTCGAAGAAATGGTAGAGGATACTGATCCATGAATATTTTGCTTCCATGTTCTAATGTAGGCTATATGTGATTGTCATTTACACTACCGCCTATACGGGAGAATTTAGAACTTTATTATTAATCATTTGTTTTTGAAAATGGAGTGCGTTTAAGGTGTTTGAAAATCTGAGTAATGTGTGATGTTGGGCTTGTTATAAGCAGAAGGAAAATTGAAGGTATGACCCAAAGCTATGTATTTCCCTCTTTTTGGAAAGAGAGATAAGCATATTCAAGCAAAAGTTCCTGATTATGTCGGTTATGCTTGAAGTATTTCTGCGTGAAGGTAAACTGGAAGGTTTGAGGAATCTTAGTGATGTAGTTGTACAGGAGACATTTAAATATGCCAGAGAAACTATGGAACATCTTACCGTAGCAGTTTTGGCATACATTTGCCTTTGCATTGTGTTTTATTACGCAGCTGTGTACCTGAAGATCTTTCCAGATAATGGATATTTGAGAACTGTAAAAAGAGTGCTTTTCGTGATAGCCCATCCAGACGACGAATGTATGTTTTTTGGACCCGTTATACTTAAACTAGCTCAACGGAGTGACTGTGAAATATTTCTGTTGTGCCTTTCAGAAGGTTAGTGCTAATATTTTTAGGATTGTTTATGGGATAATGTTCTTTTAAAGCATTTTTAATGTCTGTGATATTTCTACCCACAGGAAATTATAAACAAGAGGGATTGGTAAGGAAAAAG